TAATCGTTGAAAACGCAGAACAAAAAATGATCAGCGCAAAAATCTCTACAAGATGAAACCAATAAAACGGGATTTGAAAACTTTTCTGTAAATGGTGGGAGGAAGCTGGTGGAAACACCCTCCTCCTACATTTAACCTAAAAGCAAGTAGAGAAAATTCTTAAATATCAATAGGGTGAGTATTAATATATAAAGAATTAGAACCTACGACTAGTTTCGACCTTTTTCAAGGGTCATCATCAGGTGGTAAACTGTAATATTATATTTACTTAGATTGTAATTCTTAAATAATAGAATACATTCGAATTACGTTTCAATATAATAATTAAATTAAAAGACATTTGCACAGTTAAAATTTTCAAGGAAAAGACAAGCAACCATGACGCGTTTCGATCTTGCTTAAGGATCTCCTCAGATGGCAATGACTCTGCTATGATGTGCGATATACAGTCTTAGGTTTGAGATCATAAGGTTGATCTTCTGTATCCAGTGAGGGCTTCTAGAAGAGCGAACCAGTATTCTTGTGCTCGCTAGGAATCTATCGAATAAGATGAACTCATCCACTGTGCAATTGTTACCATGACCCTCATGCTGTGAGGAAGTGGTTTTTCTCTGAAATTGAAATTTATAGTTATATTGCTTTACATATCTCGCAGTTGGTATGAATGAAAGATCTAGACAAATGCCAGAAAGTCAAATTTTCATACTGTTGCACTATAACGTGAAAAGAAGAACTGATGAATCAAACGTTTCCATAATCGAATTTGCTTGATCGATTGATTTTTATCTCTTTCGGAAACGGCTACGTACCACTCTATGACAAGGATCGATCACACCATATACGATAAAAAATAGTTTACTCCATAAGAGCTCATTGAGATATGTGAACGATCGAAATAATTCATTGGCTTACGACTGTTTATTGTAATTACACTATAATAAAGGTTGTTTTAATATTTTTTCGAGTACCTAAAACAGATTTGGTTTCTCTGGATTTTCAACAATGTGAAATATATGCAGTCAAATTTTTTTTAGGCTGTGGTAAATTGAAAAATTCTACACCTATGTAGTTCAATTCAACCTCGTGTACACAGATTCTATATGAACTTTAGTGTTCAAAATCCGCCAAACGCTTTTGAATCAAAAGGATAAATACTGTCATTTCATGTTATACACGACTCGATTTTTAATTTCAATGAACAGACCATGACAAAAACTAGGATGTAACAATATCATTACTACAAATACCAATACCCTCTTATACCGTATTGAAATTGTTACATCCCTAATAAGCACCTCAAATTTGATCAAGAAACATATACAGTTAATGTTTATTATGAAACAAAAATTATTTGAAAACACTGGTAATGGACCTTATAAGTACGACATGAATGGCAATCAACCGAACGTATTTTCACTACGCGAAAGAATCATAAATTTCTAGCTGAATATAAAGGCTTAGATTGAATTTGAAACTATAAGATCTTTTTATATGAGTTCTGCACAATCCCAAAAAGTCCTGCCGTTGTCCAGAATTCCTACTACAGTCACAGTGTCATTATCATAAAAATTTTTAGAGTATCGATCTGTACTGTTTTTCTCTTGCTATTATAGTAGGTTTTCCAACAATAACTTGAATCCACGGTCAACCTTCATTATATTCTCGAGAGCTATAACTTGAACATAATCCAAAGTAAGACTTTTAATAAAAAAAAAGACATTTGCACATGTATGCACACTGCTTTATTATGAGCTCGTAAAAATGAATGGAAGAATTGACATTACGTTATACATATGTTATAGATGGCCGATGGCTTGATGGTACCATTCCTTGCAGATTTTTTACTGCTTTTGATTTTAACCAATCTGTCACAGCACCAGTAGCATATTGTGTATAAACCCAATTAGGTTTCAACCTATCACTAACCTCGTGATAGGTATAGCTAATTGTTATTCGTTTAAAGTTATCTACATGAATAGCGACTAAAATATATTTGCCGGTTCCTGTTTGTGTTCCTTCATTAAATTCAACATGAACATGATCAATTGCACCAGAACCCACAACTGTACATTGAGCTTTTATATCAGCAATGAAAATTCTACCCGTTACACTTGAACTCAAATCCCATGCAGGTGATAATGTGTCAATATATGATTTAGCATCATTCTCAGTTGATAGTGTTCTTGATCCGTTCACATGAGTATGTTGCCAAGCAGCGCCAGCTTCTCTACGATGTCGTTCTACTGATTCGACACCAGAAAGTCGGATTGTTATCTGTCCACCATTCGCCATATCGTGATTGCCAAAGAGTAAAACGAAATATCTACAATGGAAAAAAAATAAATCTACGATGAATTTTGTTATACCTATGCTATATCGGGTATAATGTTTTTAAATAGATCATGTTAAATTAAAATCGACAGATTTTACGTATATTTATGAATGGTTTAAGCATTTTACAATAGTGATGTAGGAGAATTGTGAATAAACGAAAAAGACGAGATATGTAACGAATTTAATTTACTCTTTGGAGCAAAGTGATGCTTCTCATTTACGCCGCGGCACTTGAGCCGTCAGACTGTTCTGTTTCACAAGGGGAACGTGATTGTTGGTTGACATTGATTGAGGTATATCATCAATTGGATTAAAGACTGTTCAAAAATAACAGCACTGACTTTAGTTACTTTTCACTCGGACCCTATGCCAATGTCAACTATTTTTGTCGAAATCTTTATGATATCCTATGGCAGGGCATAAAATACATCATATTTTCGAGGAACTCCTACCACTGCGTCCTCATCATAAAACGTCGCGTCTTTTTGGAACCATCTCTTGTTTTTATCCAGCGCATTTCCAAACAAAGAAATGGGAATTGAGGCTGATGATAGCTGAATTTGTTGATCTGTGTGCATCCCATCTTGAACCGAGAAAGCATCATTATTCACCATCGAAGTAACTATAGCCGTTGGAAGTTTCAAACTCTGTTTAGCTTTTTCTCTGAGCCATTGAATTGAGTATCGGTTTGGTATCATTGGATCCCTACACTTTGCTAATGCTTGATTTGTCATATAATGATATGAATAACCAATTTCAATTCGATCCTCTTTCGCATAAATCACAATAAGCATGTAACGTGTTTCATGTTCCGTTTCCATTGGATATTCAAATATTGATGGATGCTTGGCCACAGGGTGATGTTGTTCAGTCGCTTTCCGCACATCATTAAGAAAATTTCTTCCAATTTCAGAAGATTCATCGACTCCCCAACCACTGGCAACAGCTCGTAGATAATTTTGAGCATCAATTGAGTTGTAAACAACTTTGACATTATTTATATTTGAGTAACGCCATACTTGATTGAATCCTGTTTGAGGAACGTTTGCAACATCCGTTACCGATGATACATTTTCTCGTCGATTAGAGTGAGCCATGTAATGTTCGAATGAGTTGATGCAACTGAAAAACATAAATAAATACGTTATAAAATGATGTGGAAACTGGATATAATCCTTACATTAATTCTTATTGTATTGGTTTTGTAAAACAATGAAAATATCCACGAAAGCACTCCAATTATATACTGTACCAAGTGAGACATACTAGAGCAAATATAAGATAAGTTTTACTAATGTAAAATGCACATCTGATAGGAAAGGGAAAAAAACCAAGTAAAACATTAGCCATACGCCTGTGTCAATATGTGAATTTTGTAGTTGAGGGTGAGAATAAGAGCAACTTTGGTATGTCTCTGTATGTTCCCTTAGCCAATCTTATTACTAAGTTTTGGCTATGTGGTGATAGTTGTTTCGTTTCTTCTTTTCGTTTTGTGCAGATTTAGAATGTTATTTCGACCGGTTTCTGTTTATTTAATAAATAAACGTCATCAGGATAACTTAAAAAATCTCTTGGTAAATTGTAATAAGCAGGGTGTGGGTGTGGGTGTGGGTGTGGGTGTGGATTATTTTTAAAGAAATTTAACCACAATCTAGATTTCGACCTTTCTCAAGGGTCTTCATCAGGTAGTTTAAGCACTGCATATAATTATTAAATTAAAAGGAAAAATTCAAAAGAAAAATTTCCCTTCACTTTTAATATTAAAGC